ATATCAAATTGTATCCACCCTTAAGAGCATTATTTGCAAATTAATCACAATTTCATATACTATTCAATTAAAGACTCACTTCTAAGCACATGATTAGTTTGCCATTAGCTAAACGAGACAACATGTGGGTCATGTGTCCGTACACTTGCGGTGACAGTTGGTATTCGCCCAACGGGTCATCTGATCCAATGGTAAATCACTCATTAATTCAATTCAACTAATCAGATATAGAGCTCACTTAATGCGGCATCAAATCCAGCGCTAATGAACACCAGATCGGGATTGAAATCGTAGGCAATCGGAAGAATCACATTAAAGAAGGCCAACATATACTCGGAGTCAGTCATAGGCCCCCCATTCCACGGAATGTTGACTACATTTTTGCCAATATTATAGTTTGATTGAATCGATTGCGGGAAATAGTCTCCGAAATCATATCTGTGTAGAGATATGTACAGCACGTTGTCTTCGTTTGCAAATATTTTTTGGGTTCCTTTAGTTAAGTACAAAAAATTTATTATTTTTAAATACTTTAAGAATCGATATATAATTTAATTAATAAAATAAGAGCCGATGCCTACCGTCGCCGTGATGTACGTCCCAATCGAGTATTAGAACTCGTTTCTTATTGTATTTGTTGATCGCATATTTGGCAGCAATCGAGACATTATTAAAGCAACAAAATCCCGACGCTTTCGTGCGGCTGGAGTGATGACCGGGAGGTCTAACCTAAACGTCACATTATATTAAGTTACAGTATATACTATAATATATGGGTATGTTTTTAATTATTATTCAATTTACTAACGCATGCAAAGCCATTGAGGCATTGGTCTGTGAGAACCGAATCAACCACTTGAAGGACATTACCGACGGCCAGTTTAGCCGCACTGAACGTCTCTCGAGTCAAATACACGGAATCGTATTTATTCGATAACTTTCTCAACTCCTTCTCCGATAATTTTTCAGTTGATTTTATGATTTCAATGTATTCCTTGCTGTGAACTAAACTTAATTCATCTTCGGTGGCATATCTTGTATCCAATTTCAGACATTTGTCGTACAATTTATCTGATTTTAACTTTTCAATTATATATTTGGTTCTTGAGGGCCGTTCCGGAT